CGTTAATTTAAAAACCTGACGGAAGGACAGAATGAAACTCTTGTTCCGATTTCCAATAAAAGGGGGAAAACGTGACTGTTTCTTAGAATCGATTTGAATACGTACACCCCCGCTCAAGAGTCTTAGGATAGGTGTCCATTTCAAAAATGGAAAGAAATCTGTCAAGCGTTAATAACACAGTGGATGCGTAAAGTATTCGTACGCTTGATGAAAAATTGATACATTCGACTCTTGTAATTTCGCGAGAAAAAAAAATCGCGCGATGAATGTTAAGGGACCTTTGTGAAGCAGAGACTTTGATCTTGAAGATGGGAGCGGGTGATTAAAAAATTTTTCAGCGTGCAAAATGTATCTTTACTCGCTCTCTTCGAAATGATGTAAAACTATGTTTGAAAACGAACCCGATGGAACGAACCCAGTACTGTGAAAGTAGAGATTTCACGCTTAAAAATGGATCTACACTTTCTGTGTATCTATGTACTAACGCTTTTGCAGATCCTTTTGAGTTTAGATTTTTACAAGGAATTTTTAAAAAAGTAAACCTACTGGTTCAGACAAAAAGTAATTGCGTTTCCTTCTAAGAAATAGACACATATGTCTTAAAATATAGCTAGTTACATTTTAAATCGCATATTCATCTGGTATAATCTGGTAGGTATTTGTTCAGAATTGTATCAGATTGACTGTTCGAGCTTGCATTAGAAAAAGAAAATGCACGATTTCAAAATGGAGATTAAAGATTAAAAAGAAACATTTTCGTCTTATTTTATTTATCAAAGGGGAGGGGACGCTGTGGAACTTCATAAAAAATTATGTAACAAATTACTGCAGCGTCAGAATTAGTTTGCTAAATCTTTCACGAAAGATGAGGCAATATTTTAATAATATTAATTAACCATTTGTTAAAATGTATCGTTTAACCCATTCACTGCCAACTACGAGAAATTTAATTACTGCAAATTCATTTTTAGTGGATTTACTATACACGCAACTAAATATTATTATTTTGTGAAGATCTATGTGTTTTCCTTGAAATAAAAAATCTTGGCTCCCAGGGGAAAAACGCTGTAAATTTGCCTGGCAGTGTAATGGGTTTCAACTTCTGAACGTTGAAATCTTAACAAAGTTAACAATACATTTTGTTCAATTTGACCAAAGTTCTTGCTTCTCGCGAGAAATTCGCCTTTCACGTTGCACGCGAAAGATATATATTTCATCGAAAGTTTTTATCAAAGTATACATTACACCGTCTTCAACTTCTCTATTTTTCCCTGTTTTCGTGCAGTCAATCGATTTTGGGTTCGAATAGTTAGTCGAAACAAAACAGTGTCTCGTTCGTTAGGCTAGGGACTCTCGTGGTAGCAGTTTCGAGATTGTTGAGACGCGGGCGATCGTCTGGCCAGCGCAGCGTGCGAGGAGAGGCATCCGCGATTGCAGGCGAGCGCGCGGCTTCCAAGGATACTTCGCGGCGAGAGTAATTTACACAAGCGACACGAAAGTGTAATACTCGTTCGGAGCGCGCTCGGATCTAGTGAAAAGGATGTGGCGACACTATGGCCGCTACGTGTAGGTCAAGGAAGGAATGCAGTTGACAAGGCCGAGTTGTGATTGTAGGTACACTACCTAGGTACACTACCAGTTTCCACTAAGCTATTAATAGACCGAGCTGCGTGAATATCAGTTCTCTCGCGGATCATTCGTTTACATTCGTTTACACTCTCGTTTCGATACTTTTCTCCCCTCGAATCGCTTGGAATCGATTTCTTCCTGCCAAACCCCTTCCTCCCCCTTTGGTCATTCAATTACGCCTTCAATCGTTTCGTTTCGATTCTGATCACGTAATCGTGTGTCGCGTAATCGTAGGAGACGACGTGCAGAGAAGTTCATTCATCGACGAGAACGAGACGACGATTAATTAAACCGACGAGAATGATCGTATGCTCGAATGATCGATTGACTCTTAGAACACCGGTACAACGATCTATTTGGCAATTTTTATAGGCAAAGGTGCACACATTTGCAAGACAAGAGAGCCACTTTGACGAAAGTCTAAGTTTAAAGAAATAGAAGTTATAAAATCTGTTATTCTTTCGTGCGAGGGGAAACGCGTGGATCGAAAATTACCGAATATCGAGCAACGATTCTCCGAATCGTAGCAGCAGTATCGATGGTTCATCATCGCGTACGGGGCCATTGTCAGATGGGAACTGAAGAAATGACGAAAGTCGAGGTAATTTCGATAGGCTGACGCGGAGAAAGCATCGTGGTACGGCTGGTACAGATAAGAATACAACGGGAAGTTGTTGAACGGTGTTGGCTGAAGCAGTCTCAGATCCGCGTCCAGTGAGTTCCAGTTTCCCATCTGGTGATGGAAATCGAATGACGCGAACAGCAGGTTGTTCTTCAGCGGAGAACTCATTGTTCCGACACCGTAGGCGTTCATGTTCCTCGTATAATATTTTTCTTTTGCACCCTCTGTGTCGAATAATAATTCGTCAATTTTCAAGTACAAGTTCGTCGCGTGAATTCTTTGTTAAATTCAATTCCCTTCACTGATTGCCCCTGGTAAGTCTGATCGATTCTTCGATCGATTGAGCCTCAGTTCGCGCTTGTTACTTTCAATCGTCGGTATTTCGATCTCACTTGTCAACGATAGAAACAAAACCTTTGTCAAATGAAATATACAAATTTATATTACACGCGTAAACGAATACGTTCGATCTTGACAATAACGATCACATACTTTCTCGCTTTGGAAGTTGGTAAAAGGATTAGTATTCGCGTAACGTTTACAACACGTGAGAAACACTGTGTGCAAGTAAAACAGCGTGTCATTGATCAGACGGTGGCTGAGAAGTCATCGATCTTCTTCACGCGGCATCGCCCACGAGTTTTAAAAAACATCATCCGACAGTTAATCGTCTCGTTGCTCGATTTCCTGTTTCGTTGGACTTCTTCCACCTTCGGTGCAGAGCCGAATAGGAAAATAAAACAAAACGACGGATAAGACAAGCAGAAGAGCTGTCACAGAGATCTTGTTGACTCGATCCGGCAAGAATCCGCAACAAGTTGGCCGCGGCACATTCACGCGCGCAGTGAAGAAATCATTGATTAACGTATCATTAATTACGCGATCGGCGATCGTCCCTTCGTTTTTCGCGGCAAAACTCTCCTCTCCCGTCCAGATAGATCCAGTTATTGTTTGATCGCTCGTCCGTGTAACCTTTCCATATTGTTACGTTCGTAAAGCACTACGTCGTTCCGGTCGGCACACGTCACCGTGCAACTGCGTCGCACGTTCTCCTCCGCGTATGACGTTGCTCGC